GAATTCAGGAAATTCTCTGGGGATATGGAGACTCAGGGGTGTGTTTATAGTACAATGAAAGCTCGAAGGAACCAATGAAGAATGACAGCAAAGAGTGATCCCAAGTACACGTATCATTTTAGTCTATATTATTTTGGCTTCGAAGCTCGTCCACATATGAGGGACAAGGTGTTGATGAGTTCTACAAGTTTGCAAAGGCAATCCTCTATCTTGTCTTGAGATCCTGTAAGTTCTCTTCTTTCAGATCTAGCTTCTTAACAATGGCACTTTATTCCTGGGCTGCCAAAGCTGGAGGCAACATCAAGATGTCTATTCTAGTCTCATTTGACGAGGTAGGAGAAGGGGTGATAGGAGCTAGGATAGATATTCACCTCTGTTGCGCCATTTTCTTCTTAGTCACAATCGAATGATACACCGAGGACCGAGGGGATTTTGGAAGCCATTGAATATTCACTTTTTGATTAGTTGAAGATAGTTTTGAAAATTGGTATGGATTCACCGAATCAGGGTCAAGATTGCATGGTAGGAGGGCAGTGTCAGATGCTATTACAAGTGTAGTCTACTAGTGTCAAGGTTTGGGCCTAGTAACTAGATCGAGTAAAAGTCTCCAATATGCAGGTCATAGATTGCGTGAAGGTAGTGCTAGTCCACATGTTGTATGCAATTTGTCATTCTCAACGTTTGTATGAGCGATACTGCAACGGGTTAAGAATCACTTTTTGACCATCAAACCATACTAATAAGTAGTGAATTTTGAACGGTCAATGGGTGGTATAAACTGTTGTTTCATGCCGTGAATATTTTCGTCTTCTAGCGAAGTGAGAAAGTCTTTCTCTATCTAAAGTTTAACTTTCCTAGGTATGTTTCGCTTGAACCTAAATCATTCGTACGATTCACTAGTACAGCCAAAGGCCGATTTTGTCTGCAGAACTGGTTATGGTTGGTTCATGGGCGTAGTAAATCTTTTGGCAGCTGTCATGTTCACTATAGGTTGATTTCTTAGCGTGGTGATCTAGTTGACAGATTTCAGTTCTCTTGCCTATATAAAGACTCCGTTCCCTCGTTCCTTTGCGACTTTTTTCTTTTCCTTTTTGTTCTTCGTAGGGCGATTGTGTATTCAACCCGCCATCCTTGGTTTCAGCGCCTTGGTCGTTCAAACATTTTGTTCCTTTCATTGAATCATCACCTTTTGATGTCGACGCCTTGCCGTTCAAGCATTTTTGTTCTTTCTATTGGACCATCGCCCATTGTTTACGGCGCCCTATCTGCGTAATCATTTTTGCTCCATTCGTCGAATTTTCCCATCTTGACTTTCGCGTCTTACACGCTCAAGTCTTCTTGTCCCTTCATTAGAACGAGGCTATCAACTCTTGATCATATAGTGCTATTCTGATTGACCTCCCTTCGGGGAGATTGAAATGATGAATGGCGGTACTTGGTTTGGGACCTTTAGCCTTGGCTGATGATCGGGTAAGATTACTTGGGCCGCTAAGCCGGAACTCAAGCGGGAGGATTCGGGCCTCGAGCAGGATGATTGCGTGAGGATACGGGCTGTTTCCAAGCGTGGTGCTTCAGTAGAGTGAGCAGGATGTTTCAGCGGCGAGAGCGGGGCGTCAAGAGGGGGGTTCACTGAATCGACCGAAGTGTTTCAGCGGCGAGAGCGGGGAACAAAAGGATGCCCGGTTGAAATGACAATTCGCCTAGGCCAAGGCTGCCAGTCCTTGACCCTGCTGTTGCTGTCTTTTGACTACCCTCCCTTCGGGGAGCGTAGAATCATAAAGAACAGGAACGGGGGGTGCAAGTCTGGCAGCCTTGTCCCGTAACTCTGGCCCAAGTCAGTATTCCTTTACCTCTTGTTGCTGTCTTTTGACTTCGTCCCCTTCGGGGGGCGAGGAATGATAAAGAACAGGAACATGAGGGGAGGGGTGCTGGCTTGGGCAGAGTTGCGTTAGGTCGATTTCATGGTTTCTCCGGCTGGACTTTGATAATTTCCACTCTCACGATTTCCTTCGGGGAGTCGGGGGTGAGGGAATTGCATGGGATAGCCTGGGGAATGATGAAGTTGACCCGTAACTTGGGCCAAGTCCATCGTTCTCTGATATTCTCAACGAGCTTCTAATCTGGTCATTCTCTTCGGGGAATGACTGGCGCAGGAGTGGCTAGAGGGTGATCGGAGAGCGTTGGGCTTGGCCTGAGTTGCGTTAGGTTGATTTACTGGTATTATGTCCCAAAGATCTAGGTGCGAAAGGGAATATAATGTTCAATTCATATTGGCTGAAAGGCTTCTTTATTCAAAGTTTCCATGGTGGAACAATATCCACAACTATAAACCAGTTTCTAGCCCAATATATTATATCTAAGTCTCTTCGAATCTCTCTCATCGTCTCTGGTATTCTGTTCCTATCGCAGATGTCTTCTCTGCCATTTGAGATTTCCCGATCATCTAAAAAATAGCCATTGCATTTGGGGGTGAAGAAACTCCTCCTGGCATATTCAATGGCATAGATGTTAGGAAGAACGAATATCGATTTAGTTCGCGACAGGTACGAGACAAGGCCTCAAGATCGAATATTTCACCTATGTGGTTAATAAGTAAGCTGGCATAATTTTTAAGCTTTTAAAACTTCGAATTGCACGCCGATTCTCTCCGTGATTTACGAAGCCAGGCGCATGGAAGTGGATAAATATTAGACAGAATTAGAAAATCATAGATAACTTGAAAAGTCAATCGCTCACTCACCGATTGGCATTCCCCATCCTCCGAGCAGATATTCATGACAGCTAAGCTCTCCCTGTGTAGGATATACCTCCCAGCTTATAGCGTCGCCTGCCACAGCTGAAATCCCACTATCCCATAGCCACTCTAATAACTCCAAACTAGGTTCGACACCAGCATGTTCTGGGGTACTTTGTGATGCATATTCCTGTTTTTGAGAATCGGTGAAACTATCCCATTCCGGGATTACCCCCATGCGGACAAAGAGAATATCACCATGTTGAGGGGTTATATTTTGATCGGCGAGAATTGCGACAAGCGTTTTGAACGGGATGTTGTGAAGGGAGAAGTTGGTGTACGTGATAGGTGGGGATTGTTGGGTGCACCAGTGAGCGTAGTCGATTAGGATACCGCGACCTGGAAGTGATTGTGAGCATTATGAAGATGTGAAATGGAATGAGAGAAGGGAACAGGTGACGACGAACCAGCAATTCCTTCAGGTGCCCAATGCTGGAGTCCAATACGGTGGTTGGATGTATCCATAATCTCATCTTTCGTAGTGCCGCCGCAGAAAACTCGGTCTTGTGATGTCGAGGGGTCAGAAGTATTTCGTGGCTGGGAGTAGTGACGAAATCCATCCCATTGACTGCTTTGTTCTTGTGTTATAGGGTCAGTCTATGCTTATATGATATTCAAATTATATTAAAGCATAAAATTGGGACTCGAAGCGGTTTTATGTGTCTTGTGGAGGTGTGACTTGATTTTGTCATAATCTCAACCGGTAGAATTCGAGGTAAATACACTAGGTGGTAATAAACCGTGGGTTTTACCTGCCTCTTTCAGATGAATACTTGCCCATCATCTAAATGAGAAGTTTCGAGCAAGATATCTCCGATTGAAAGCGTTGCGAGAATATGCTAGAGACATCGTAACTAACAAGAAGCATTGCCATAACCTACGGGGATTCATGTGATACACATCATCAAAACAAGCTCCATATCCACTTCCGCCTGGTCCATTCAGTGGAATAATCTTATGACCACATTTCTGTCGTCCAAATTGGGAATACTCCAATTTTGTAATGTCCCATCCGAGACCTATTCTTCTACCAGTCTTGATCTCTGTAGTCGCCGCCGAAGAGACTATTTCTGGTGTGAGAAGGGATAGGCGACCTAGAGGGTTTGTCAGGTGATTCATGGTCCAGAAAGGTGAAGAGATTCTTACCTATTCCTTCAAGAGTAGATCCAGGCTCCCCTATCCATACTCGTTTGGGGTCTGGTAATTTTGAGAAAGGGGTCTCGTAGATTGAGGGGTCGTAACGCGGGGTAGTAGAATCCTTCTCGGCCATGGTAGGAATATCAGTAACGAATATCAGGTTTCGAGGAGCTTTCTTTTGCTGAAGGGGCTCCTAGATCTTATCGTTGACTCAAGAAACAATCATGCAATCTAAAACACAAATGTTTTCCCAATTGTTGAATATATATCGAATCTTTGAAGGACATCACGTGTAATATCCCCCACCTCGTCCTACCTTCGGTAACTCGGTATAGTGACGTCCGCCAATCATCATGCAAGTACACGTTTGGGGTTTCATGCACATCACGACCTCTGAAAAGTATGGGGAAAATTCAGTGGTAGATATAACATTCTTCGACTACGACGCGCACCGAAATTCGAGTGAGCGGGTTGAGGTACTTACTTGGGCATCAGTACAGAATGTTTTTCTTTGCCAGCATCCGTCGAGATCGTGTTCTTCCGACGAGCTCCTTAATCTTTCCATCTTGATATTGCTAAAGCATAGTGAATAGCGATTATAAAGCGAGTGCTCTTCGAGAGGTACGATGCAGGTTACTGGCTTGTAGTGTGCAAGATTCGGGTGTGCTTAAGTTTAAGTTCTTGGAGTACTTGACAAGCAGATTTGCATACGTGGATGAGTTATGAGAGGGTCTAATAATGGAAAATCTTGAAAACTTATGTAACTTACAGGTTCTGCATGCAATCAGCTAGTGCTGTGAATCCTCAGAAAAATGTTCACTCCAATCAAAAAATGCTATTTCGGTAATATATATTGAATTCTGATGTAATTAACTCAGACACCAAGTCTGAGCAAAACTACACTAAAAGTACATCTGCAATTATTTTCGTAATATCAACGTTTATTCAAAAAGCCTTTGTTATCATGCCAGCATGTCCAGCCCCGAGATCCAGCCCCAAAAGCCATTACCTAATCCTACTATTGGAAGTTTGCTTTAGTCGCCAATTTGGAGTTTCCTTTTCTTCCGTTCTAATCCCGCCCTATCCTATGTTGACCTAGATGCAGACCCAATCTTGCGTACTCTGCAATCTCTTCTGTTGTGTAGTCTGACTCTTTGGGTGCATCTGAGCGTCTTCGCCGGAAGATACCCGTTATTCTTGCCTATATGAATTCAGTTAGCATGACCGAGAGGTTTTGATGAAGGACATGGTCTTACGTACCTTTAAGGTGTTGTTCTCACGTTTGTACTTATCTACTCGTTCCTCAAGACCAAGGTTTACACCTATCAACTCCTCAAACAAAACCACAGCTTGAGTCACTAAGTCAGTCAATACCTCTGGATGCCTTCCTTGTTTAAGCTTCAACTCGTGAAGGCCCGAAATAACTTGGTCTCTTGCTCTATCTATGTATTGCACGTGGAAATCCTGACGAGTTTTGATATACTCTGATATGCTGTCGCAGTATCTCTTAGCATAGATATTGAGATTCTTCAACTGGTGGTGGAACGATTTGAGTATCTCCTTTTCATGTTCGGGCTTCATTTGCTAGCATTGACGGTACTCAGCTTCACTCATTTTACGATCATCCATCGTAAATTTAGAGTAGGGATGCAGTGTAGGATTTATTCGACAGCCCGATGCAGAATTGTAAAGAAGTGAGCGGTAAGAGCCGTTTGTTGATTGTGATATTAGTGGCTGTTGCAATGGTTCTCCATAAGGCTGACGTCTATGAAGATAGAAAGCTGACAGGATTTGAGAGTAACTCGTGTGATTTGATATTGTTTCTTGGATTATTTGGTGTCTGGGGAGCCTTCTGCGTAAAAATTATATTCTAATAGATATGTCTTGTTATGTAGGAAGTGAAATTTCGGGTTTGTTGCTTGACATGTAACAGGAGTTCAAATGGGGAAAGTTCAAGCTGTTTGTGCCCATTCCTCGATGTGTGTTTGAGCTAGTAGATACTTTGAATGAGTAAAATATGGTTGGCTGAATCATTATGACATTACTTTCTATTATTCATTTATCGTATATGACTCGAAATCATAGTCAACTCGTGGCTTTTTTCTTTACAGATTAGATCGCCCTGACATTTGTGACACTTGAAGGATTATCATGAGTAGGCTATCGCTGTATGAGGCACGCCTAATAGAATCACAAAAACCTGTGAGTAATTAATTAATTGGTGATCAAGATGCTATTGTTTTTGATCACTGAAGTCGGTTCCTGTAGCCGAGAATTCACGAGAAGTTATTCATCTCTGCTCACAAGATTGTGCTCACTTTTGAGCATCTATATCAAATTTCACACATAAACACAAGCATATACCAATTTTTACAGATTCAATATTCTCATAGCACAACATCCATATATCACACTGTATTCAACCTTCAAGATGTTTACCCATTCTTCTATTCCTGCCATTACCATCAATAGTGTAGACCTCTCGCAGAGCCTTGAGGTATCCTCGATTGCAAACGACACAAGCAGCCAAGAAGCTATTGAGGGTAGGCTTTACCATGGTCCCGAAACACTACAGGGTGACATCCCAGCTGTGGCACCTACAAAGAAGCGCTGTTACGTTCTCAGAAAAGTCATAAAAGGCACATCAAAGGTAGTAAATGCTTTCACCAGTACGTACAATCACCTTCACAGAGTCTGTGATCAAAGAATAGAGGCTAATTTGTCTTTCAACTCCTCTCGCAGGAGTTTAGCGATCATATCACAGTGGTACCCGCAAAGTCGATGGAACGAGAATATAGAATTGGTATCGTAGTGAGATGCCCCTATACCATTATCCGAGCCGTTCATGATATAAAGATGCGAAATCCCAGTCCCAACTGGGTATTGACGTTTGAGGATTCATGGGCAGAAATTCGATCATTTTGATCATTCGATATGGGGATATTATCTCTTTCATATTTTGGGAAGATGTGAATAGCAGCTTTAGCCTGGACATGTTAGAGTCACAATACAAATGAGGAGACAATATGAATCAGCGAGATCTCATGACTAGCAGAATAGCGTTTTCTGACTACTCCTGACTGTTCACTTAGTATCATACAATTCATCCTTTACGTACCGTTGTATGATTCTCTGAAACATATAATGGTCCCAAACTTCTCCAGATTTGCATCTTCATTTTTTAAATTCTGATTTTTCTCACACTTCACAACATAATCCAAAAATCTCAAAGAACTTCTGCCACTTCACACTTGCAAAACACCAACCCAAGTCTTTTGACCCAAGCCATCCACCACGGCAAAGCTTTCTCGGAACTTTTCACATCTCATCACCACCATTGTTCCTGCTTCATACTATACCAGATTCAACAGCTGTAGGTTCAACCCGCAGTCATCTTACTAAGTCACACCGCTAACCTAGTGGCCAAGAAAACATGGCCTCCAGAAATGTCTACCAACAGAGGCGATCTAATTTCAAAGTAGATCTCGATAAAAGAATGCCTTGCTCAAAGAGAAGGTTCGGGATCGAGATCTCCGCACTGGAGCCGCCAGCGCTCTCCAGAATTTATACGTATTCCGCATTGCCAATACATATGTCGACGAAGCTACACATAGATTTGCATTGGAGGGGTTAACTCGGAAACACATCGACAATATCCATAAGGAGATTTTGCACATCCAACACATACCTCATCAATTTTTGAATGATGTGTATGATATCGTTTGCACTCCTGAAGCAAATATTTGTGAAGTTGTCTCATACTTTCTGAGGGGGGAGCCCATTACACCCGATTTGCTGAATAAAACAGTCGAAGATGCTTCTCAAGCAAACATTGCTTGGCAAATTATTCATCTTGGTGTTCTTCTGGGAAGGGTTCGAAATCGTTCACTTGACGAGTGGAACAGGATCAACTCTAGGCTACGTATTGGTATGGCAGTTTAGACTCTAGAGCACAAATGGAGAGACTGGAATTGGCAATGCGGTTAGCAAGTAATCTAGAACTTAGACCACAGGGCCCTGCTCGATATCCTCTCCGTCTGAGTACTGAAATTGAATAATGCACGTGGTTAGCTGAGAAGATAAGTACAGTAGGCGCGGTACTTGTGAGCTGAGATACATTTAGTTGGAGAAGTAGTAATCGACCTTGGGCAAAATTATGTATGGCTTTGATAGTTTTGACACATAAATGAAAATGGATCTAAAACTTACCAAGTAGAATCTTTTGTCACAGTGAATGCATCTTATTGTACCATTGTATTGTCCTCAGTAGAAAGCTTGACTGGATTCTTTCGTTTCGCGATGAACAGTCACGGCCTATCAAATGTAGAGTCATAAGTGATTCTTGAGAGCTTTCATGCCATGACTGAAAGTGAAATGAATCCTACATAATTTCTTTTACCTTTTGCACAAAACCCTTGGCTTCTCCCTGCCCTCTGCTGTTCTACGACAAGATACAAAGAATCCAAGCACCAAACATCACAACTTGCACATATTGAGATATTTTCTTGATTCAACTCAACACAGTCAAACCAAACACTGCCAGGTATTACCAAGTGTTATATACCCTTAGTCAAAATACAGCTTGTTGCTAAGTATATCAAATAGATCGAGGTAACCATTTACATATCTTCACCTCGTCAAATAGTGAAACTTAATACACACTTGAGTTAATCTTCTCCCCCAGGTGTTCTTGGTAAGATTTGCTTTTCTAAGAATATTCTTAACTTATCTAATTGTTGATCCAGAACAACTTCGAAATGAAGATAATAGATCAGACCATGAGAGCTTCTAAGGCATCGGCTGAGGCACCCGAAAGCACTAAGAGCGAGACAAAAAGGTTGCAGATGATGACAGCAGAGCTTAAGGAAAATGAGGAGCTTCTGAATATGAGAATTTCAATTAACAACCAAGAGATTGCTAAATTGAAAGACAATAAGCCAAAATATCAGGCTGAGATTGCAGCTTTGCGGAAAGAAAAGAGTGATGGATGGGTAGGAAAAAGGTCCAATTAGGACAAAACAATGATATGGTAAGCTCATAGCAGCGATATAAGTCCATTTACTAACTATAAATAAGGAGATCCGACAACATTATTCGGTGGATACTATGAGGGGTACTAGATGCTAAGCTTGGAATGGGAGGGTTGACCCGCAATAACAGAAAGAACTGCCTGACTTTTGGATGTTTATCCTTTAATACCTAGTGTAATAGAAATAAAATCTACTATGTAAAATGTCATCCCATTGTGCAACATTGATATGGCCTCTGAATGCTTTCTCAGATATCCAACATCAACTTTTGATATTAACACATATTGAGTGAACCCATCACAGGCTCGCTATCCAAAGTCCAAGTGTGTATTTTTATTCCAAAACCACTCGAAAGCTCAAACTTCTGTATTTTTATTCCAATACCACTCGAAAGCTCAAACTTCCAGTCCCCGTACTAACAGGAGGGGCTGATTTCTATTCAAACTTAGATTATTCACAGGAAGACACATGCTCTCGAAATTTCACAGATTTCTTGGTCAAGAAACATCAGGATCTGATGAGGTCTATGGTAAGAATTGATGGCTTTGATCCAAAAGCAACTGTATGCCATTTATGACAGAAAGCGCGGAGGTCTTGAAGAATTGTAAACCACTCGTGTGGTCTTATAACTCCTAGTTGATAGCCAAGCATCATATTAAGCAAATATATTCCGAAAAGAAAAGGGGTCGCCAGAGCAGCTAAACTTTCAAATAGAGAACTCTGATTCAGTAGATCTGCAACCAGTTAATCAGCTCTGGTAATACTCAATAATAACTTCGGTTCTTCAGGTTAACAGCCAGATATCACTCGTGAAGAAATATCTCACAAAAAATTGCACTGCTCCATATTCTTCGGGGTGGTGAGCTATAATTGACCAAATGTGTGAGTTGTCGCATCTTACACAGCTTCAGTTTAACTTTGATCGTCACTATATCAAAACAACATACCCAGTAATCATTTTATCCTAGTTTTGTTTGATCTTGAAAGAACTTATACGCACCCAGACCCTTTGCAAAATCTTGTGCTAGGTTCGTAAGTTGATCGAAAGCTAGCGGTGCACACCCAGAGTCGTTCGTACCTGCCGTGTTTGTAAGAGCTTACTTTTGAACTCTCAATCTTCATCTTGCAACCGACATTCCCTTTCAACACTTTCCGCAGCCCATCATCTCGTTTTCCCAGATACCTATCAAAGAACTCTCCAGGTAATTGATTCGGGATATTTTTTCCTATTCTGGTACACTTCTATATCACGATTGTCACGCTCGCGTGAGCCTTGACAGCTAAAGCATTCGAAGAAATCGCACAAACATAATAAGGAGGTTAGATGAATTTCGAGATAAGTGGCGAGGAATCGAGTTTTGACACTCTTTAGTCACAACTGGGATACTGGCACAAAGACTGGAGCCAAACGATTAGAAGAGTAGCACAAACTCAGGCGTTTAAGGGGTTCAAAGACCGGGGCCGGATAGTCCAGTTCTCTACTTAGCACAAGCACCGAAACTCAAAGCATTCAAAATTAGCTGAAGTCTGGACACTCGAAGACCTCGAAAACAGACGGCGGAAAATCCTCAAATATTTTCATACTTCAGTCTTCTATTCGATCAGATTGGCTAGATTCAACTACTTCTCAGTCGCACAATGTCGAGCATCGAAGAACAGACCAACAATGAACGCCGCGTCGCACATCTGCTATGTGCAGCAATTGATTCGCAACTGGAACTCGAGAAAGTCGCAGAAAAATTGATTGACAACGTGTATAAAGATCTGAACAGAATGAAAGCTTCTGGCTGCTCAAGTGAAGATTGGATCGCAATGTTTGACATAGCACAGGAATTAGTTGACCTTTTAAAATTTTTGACCGTTGATGAGGCTCCCATATCGATTATCGAGGAAAGAAAAGTCGTTGTCAAAGTCGGCAATGAATTCATGAAAGGAGAAAAACCGGAGAAAGATATTGAAGAGTACCTCGAATTATTTTTGAAGGAGATACATCCCGATTTGGATCAGATTAGAGCTGCTGCTAGCTTAGAGAAGCAGGACCTACACGATATATTTGGTTTGGCAAAGCAAATGGCAGAGCCCTATAAGTTTACGTTTGATGAGGAAATGAAAAAGGCAACTGTTGAGGAAAAGAAGGACAATAGAGCAAAGAGGAATGAAAAAAAGAATAGGAAAGGGGGAAAAAGAAAATCTGAGAGAAGGGGGGGGGGTTCATATCTCTTGACGAAGAACTGAGGGATCGCAGAACCGTCCCCTCTCACTCCGTACTATGATATTGAGGAAGATGGAAGCTCAATATAATGAAGTTTTCTCGGTTATACCCACTTTGACGGGAGGCTTGGATGACTGTACAACTTCAAGTAGTGCAAATTTGTAGCTTCATATTGGATTTCCAATGCCGCTCGCTAAAGAGTGTTGCGCTTATTTTCGATTCAAGTCTATAATCATTATTATATACTGTGTACGAAGATCATACCGTCAATTATGAGAAGAATGGGAATTTTAAGATTACAATTGGTAGGTCCCAAAAGATTTATCATTACTTAGCATGGGAGGATTTGCCAGAGATGCTTTATGTATACGGCGGTGCGAATCGTTTTCACACCGCGATGTTCTTGGTGATTCCGGAGGACGTTTATTTGCACAGGCACTTTCACCATAGTTGATCCTAGCAATTCGAGACCAATTCAATTTCATTTCCCGTGGTCATTTTTACTGTCAAGATGTGTTTATAGTGGTGTAGATTTCGTATACCACTCACATTGTGGTGTTATTTCCATCAATTCACTAAAATCAACCCACCTTGTGAGTCAACCGAGTAACCCTATTTCTAGGGGCTCCTAATCACCTTGAATTTCTTACTTTTCTTTCACGAATGAACAACGACAACAAACGATTTTGTTTGTGATACTTATTCGATTAAATTACGGAACCTAAGATCAAGAAATCTTTTATCAACTTAACTTATCATGGAGCCAAATCACACAAAATCTACTACTAATACTCCTTTTGTCAATCTCCGACTTCTCGAGAACATTAATCATCACATTGAAGCCGAAATTCCCAAGGAACGGTACAGAGATTACAAGATGCGCAGAGAAAACATAGATAGCATGACTCCACCGATCACTAGCTCTGAGGAACCAACCGTGTCTACACTTGAGGGATCGGAAGACGAAAGGCTGTCTTCGGAGACACTGTCTGATACGGAAGAGACATCAGAAGTTATTCAAGAAACTCGAGCTGAAACTAAGAAGAGGAGACGCCAAGAACTCCTCGATAATCATGATGCGAGATCGTACGAGCTCGTTGTGGATGGCCTTCTTGAGAGTCAGATTAGACATTACGCAGTGCTGCGGCGATGTGAATTGGTTTCTGTGCAAGCAAAAGAAGATAAACATTATAAGGAGCATACTTTTATTGAGACTAGCGAAGGTTGGAGTTTACTCAAACTTGTGTTTTGCTGGTCTTTCACTAATGCTTGGTCTCTAATCACTAGAATCAGAACCTACACCAAAACATGGAGATTCTATTTCCGATCTACCCAATTCACAATTCTCGATTAAGAGCAAGAATCCTAGATTTTCCTATAGCGAAAATAACGTGAGCGCAATTGGGTAAGTCGTTGCTGGCACTACCAGTCCATTCATACGACTGTTGTAAGGAGATCTCGCTAATAATCATGTAGAAAGAGTGGACCTGGCGTCACAAAGAAAGGTCACGTTGCCAAGAAACGGGCAATTATCAGTAAGTATCACACGGAGCATTCGAGAAGTTGCCAGTTGCTAATCAACTTTTAAGAAAAGAAGGATATGCTCGAGTTGATGTTAAGGGAATGAAGCATTGTTCCGGAGCTTAGTTTGAGAAAGGCATTGGTGGAGGTCTCTGGATGGGGTTTTAAGTGGGGTTTCTTACAACGTCGAAGGTAAACATCAGAATTTTGGAATTCGAAGCCACAACAATAATTGGAGTAAGGATTGGCGGTATGTTTTTGATCGGAAGACTTCAATTTTATCATTCACATCGCCAGGGACAATATCCGAGTTCGCACTCATCAGTCAGTATAGGAAGCAGGCTTTCTTTCTGGAGATATTCTCATTAGTCTGGAAAAGCATATCTTCATTCAACTACTATTGCTTTCATTGAAATCACGCACATTATCCGTGCGACATAATCTTCGGGTGCACTTACATGAAGACTAATATTCCAATAAGCCTGTCATCCAAGCTGCTTCTTTGAAATACGTCCTTCACAGAGGGCCAAAACCTTGGTTTGGTGGTGTTCTGTGGTTTCTGGATGTGAAAATGTGAAACCAAGCAACAATGCTGAATTTCCTCGCACAGTGTATCAACAACAAAGACAAATAGATCAGGAAGTTTCTAGCAGTAAGACCAGCTTCTGCGAAACTGGAAGCTCGATTCTCATCTGTTATTGTAACATTTATTCTAAAGATATATCTATTCAATTCTGGAGCGATCTAAAAAGGTGTCTTAGATGACCAGAATTGATCAAAGAATATTACAATCGTATGAATATATAGCTAGGCGCTACTCACAAAAATGTTTTTGGAAATACACTTTCGATTTTCATCCGCGTTATGGCCAAAAATTTGGAAGTAGAAAATCCCGAAACAATGAATTGTGCAGAGGGAAAAGCTACATCGAGAACCCCCAAAGAAACATCCACAGCATCTCGGAACCCATTTCTGCCTCGAAATTCGGTGCTTAGAAGCTCTTCCATCATCTCTGGTCCAGCTGCGCAGCTACAACCCCTTCATTCGGGAGTTATAGCGAAAGGTCGAACGTCCAGATTTGTGGAAAAAATCAGCAGCGATGAGGACTTAGAGAGCTTGGTGAAGAATACAAGGGCTGCCAAGACATTTGATGAAATGCCACTGCCTCCTGGGAAAGTGAGGTCGGCAACTGCATGCGAGGAGCAGACTAGAGTGAATGATTCTTGTGAAGCAGATTTCAGAAAGCACTACTGACACTTTCTCATAGGCCGAGGAAGCTGAATGCTGGTTTAGGAGATGTGGGCCGATGTAGATCGTCGAGTAGAGTGCTGATGTTATCACGAAGCATTGGTGGTAATAGGACTACCGATGCTGCCAGCTTCTGGCATATGTATTCCTCGGAACTTCAAAATTGTTGTTTGTTACTTTTTTGTAGGCTGCTATAGGAATATTAGTACGCCATTTTCTTGTAATATTCTCTAGGTACCATGAACATGATGTGACTAGGAGTAAAATAGATTCCCTAAGAGAGACGATGATACGTGTGAGAAATTCCTAATACTCAAAACTTCTCACATGAGAACCTGAATTTCGCCAACCCTCAGGGAATGATAGCAATCTCCGATGGAATTTCATGAGATTAAGCAAGCCTTGACTAGCATTAGATTTGTATTGACTAAGATACCACCAAACTGATGATTCTGTATCAGGACTAAAAATTCGAATGTTTCGTTTGCTGGATAATGAATTTACTGCAAATTTCTCCAGAATCTAGTATTTCTCGACTTCTGTATACCACTCAAAGGGGAATGTTTTAATACATATCTACTCTGATAATGCAGAAATACTGCTTCAACCCTCGTAGCTCTAGCTATTACAGGATAATTTCAACATTTTGAGTGAATTATTATCCCCGCATATCATTTGGTGGCAGGACATTCATATGAGATTCATTTCCACTCTGTTGTGAATAATCTATGCGAGTCATGAGATTCATTCACAGCATTAGCACATTGAGCATCAATAAAGCTTGCCACATGTTTCCCCGGCAGACAATTCCCTCACAGTAAACACAGAACCATACAAGAACCTGCAAGCTTAACAAATATAGAGACAATACATCCAGCAATACTACCTCATATCAAAGTAAGTCTACAAGTGGGCCATTGAAATTAAGCAGCCTGCTCATCATTCTTATAGTACTCGAAATCGAAACAACGCCATGCCTGAAAGAGAATCAAAAACTTTGCCGAAGATGAACATCTCTTCGGCGTGGGCTCTACTACAGAAGGTGTCGACACTCGTTAACAATCTTTCGAAATCCCAGGAAGAAGCCCAATTGTCCAGGAATACAGACTCGCAGTCAATCGAGAAATTGAAAAACAAGGTTAAATCACTTGAAAACGAATTGAAGGGAGTCAATCAAGACTTTGAAAGACGGATCAGGCAGCTTGAGAGCGTGATTTATCGTTCAAAGTGACCCCCACCAGGCCCCACGTGCGAGTGGTCATGACTAGAGTCCTACAGACTGACCGGATCAGCAACAACTTCGGAACGTGAGGAGCTTGAATGCTTTGACAGTCGATTGGGAGATTTTGGAAACATTCACGATATTGTTACTACCTAGGTAAATAGGTAATTGAAGACCAATGTACCATGATGGCGTTCTTGTGCAGGAATTGGTAACTCAACGTGCGGAAAACCTTTGGTGAGCATTGTATTTGGAAGGATCGAGTGTACAGGACTAGACAGAGGCGAACTCAATAAATTTCATCGAAGAGATCGCATGACTTAGCTGCAGCCTAGATTATTCGACTCTAGTCAAGGATGGATTGTCATTTCATGAAAGTCCTAGCGACCTGAAATCATGAGTTGGTGGGATAACTACAATATACATTCATTTTCCAATGAAATAACGTGGGATTTCGGGCATTTCTCATCCTCTAGCCTCCACATTCGCTTAGCATGACTTGCCAAGTGACTGTGTATATTCAGAGTTTCGAGTCAGATTAAATGAACAGGATAGTCGGCCAACTATCCAGTTGGCAGCACTGACTTATTGCTATTGAACGAAGCCAGCAAGGCAGCATATTATCTACAAGTACCTAAGCAAAGTAGCTCTCGCTGATAGCTAGATTTTCAACAAGGGCAATTGCAATTTTTGTGATGTTGATCTGAATTTTGGTTGTCGGAACAACTTTTAGACGGCTTAGAGATTGTTCAGGGTATACTTTGTGGATTATGTTTGGAAAAATGGACTGGTGATATTGAATGTACAATTACATAGAAGAATTGAGCTCAAAGAAGTTTGGAAATAACAATAAAAAGTTCATCTTCACTTTTCTGATTTTCCCGTCCAAACCACCGTGTACGTGCAAGCTGTTGAAATTATATTACCCATAGCGAGTAGATTCACTCTACCCATAAAGGGCTAAGGTGTATAATTTCATACATTTGTAGTAGTTAATCACACAAAAAAGTTGTTATTCATAGTCATCTGTCATAAAGGAGGTACAAATTCTCTTTGAGCACCCAAACTTAAACAAAGAACACCAACCACCATATCAAGCCCCGATTTCCACAGTTGACCTGAGATCAAACAATCACAACACGACCAAATTCCTCTGATTCTAGTTTTCGATTCAAGAATCATCATCATGCCTGAGAAGGGACGTTTCGCAAGTGCCACAGATGAACAATTGAGAGATGTGAAGTGGTTGAGGGCCCAATTCAAAGAATTTCAACAAGCTCAGGAAAGACTCGATATTGCAGAGAAAGCCATCCTTGAACTGCATACGTCAGTCAAAGAGCTTTCTGAAAAAAATCAAGAAGCTTGAGTCGTAGATAGAACTACTCTTTGTAAGTATCTCTCCTATAAAAGCCAAATCAGGAAAATTCTCTAAATTCTCACAAATGCTGTTAGCTAATCGATGGTAAAGACTGAAGATAGTCCATTTGACGGGATGACAGATATCTTGGGGGGAGGGATGGGCTGGCTGAGTCGGGTTGCTACACTGAAGTCCGAATTTCTTGGGTTTACTCTTGTAATGGGTCCACCAGATGGCCATTTTAAAGAAATGGTTTGGGCCCGAGAATCAGGAGCTAGCAACATATAGAAAGGAATAGTACAGCGCGAATCTCAAACATAGTCAATGAAAATCCCACATCGCGAGGTCTTAGCGATGCCACGCTAGTTCGCCTTTGCTTGCATATTTCTGCTTTGGGATTGGAACGGCTAGATTCATTGCGTGAATAAGATCCAGAATTCAAGCGCGCAAGTCATACGTTTCATGTCCATAGTTTGACTTCTATAGGATATCATTGTTGTTTAGTCGAAGCCCGTATGTCTCCAAGGAACCGTTGAGAAGAAACAAAATTCGCAGCTTCATTGCACTCGCATGGACAATCAAGTCGCATTTCTACGCACTATTGTTCGATATGGGGGAAAAAATAGAGCTTGAATGACAAAGCCTATATATTCAAGCATGAGCTGAGCAGTTCGGTCCAAAAGCATGACTGTGGAAGGATTTCATTGTTATGACTGTTTTCCAGCAATTATGACTGAGTTTCTTCTCTGTGAGACATCAATTTAAGGGTCATTTTCTCCTTGACATATCCATACTCCACAATCAGACAATTTAAGAAACAAAAGCCAACATATCCTCGCATACCAATACCAGAAAAGCCTCCCGAATCACTCTTTTATTCAAGAACTCAACCATCTGACAACGAGAAATCTGAAACATTCGCAACAGAACTGCATTTCGAAGTCAAGATGCCCTCCGCCGCCGATCGTTTCCAAGGTCAGCCCATTGAGAATGTGCGGGAGAAATGCGAACGTCAGAAAGTGTCGGCCGTGACACGATGCCTACAAAATAATTTTAGAAGAGAAGACGAGTGAGTAGCCAAAATGGTACGTCCAGCACGCCCCCTACTGACAAGTAGTAATTGCTAATAAATGACAAAGACAGCGGGAGACGAGCGGATTGGCTCTAGCTCTGGCTCCAAATACTAACAACTATCTCAGGATCAAAAGAGCCCGGCGCTAAATCAAGTGCTTCCTAGATTGAGCGTTTAGTCTGTACAACATTCTATATCGTACTTGGTCGTCTAGCCCACTTCTATCACTTGAAGCAAGGAGCCAGCACGCGCATTTTTGGGTCATTATTGTTGGTTTAGTTTCAGGTGTTCAGATACAGTACTAGGGCACAGATAATGACCGCTTGCCTTAATTACACTAAAAAAAAATAGCGAATTAGTATATCTTATATAATGATTTATTAATCATTATAATTATGTTTTTCAATTGAAACTTTTCAAATGAATCATTTATATAATAAAGATTTATATATTTTGTTTTTTAGAGTTTTAATATAAACTATAGAATTAGTATTTTATGATTGAAATAAAATCTTATAAAAGTTTTTCAAATTTTATTTATTAGAGGTTTACCTCCTTAATAATCTTACTGTCTACGAGGATTATAGTACTATATATATACGAAAAATGAAAACTTTTGTTTAGTAAGACTCATTTCAAGCGATCTGATTAATCAAAATGAATTTTAACTTTATTGACATTATAATATAGTATAATACCTAAAAACATTAAGTGTTTTTTTCAATAAGACTATTTTCATTAAATTAAATAAAGAATTAAAAAAGTAATAATTATTTAAATTAAATTAAAAACTTTTAAAGAATATAATTTTTATAATTCTAACTTAAATATAAGATCTATATAAAGAATTGAAGTTTATATATTATGTTTTTGAGGCGAATTAAAGGCAATAAAATTCTATAAATATATATAATCAATTCAGATATGATTATATTTAAATTCATTTGTTTTAAGGATGAATTTTGGTGTGATTTAGGCGATCGGTCATTATCTGTACACAGCGACTGTAGGAGCGGATAGAGGATTCTTCATCACAGGTATTAGATTTGGCATCGACAAGTTCAATTCCAAAATGCCAGTATAAACATTTGTTGGTCTATTCGTTGATTTGGAGGCTCAATGCTCTAGTACGAGTGGGTAATCTAGTCTTTAGATCACCGGCACTGGATGTTGGTGTTCTATCACGTAAATAATCTACCACATAAAGAAGGAAAAACTGGTTTGAAATGTCTTTTGATTTAATGTGTAAATCTGTCCTCATGTGCGCCCCGTTCCATTAAGCCCAGAATGATAAATGCCATGCTCCAGTATTCCAATATCTACATCTCCCCGTCACGTAATCTCGTGTCTTTATACACAACTTAACCCCAAGTCTTGAGTGCTTTCATGCTTCCCTCTTGATCGAGTGCCTTGTGCATGTCGAAGCTGTTCCACAATAGATGGGGCTCGTGACCCCAGCCTCTTCTCATACACTCGAACTCGGCCTTTCTGAAGTAGTCTTCCAAGATTGGCTTATAATCTGGATGAGAGCACTTTTCAATAATGACCTTGGCTCGCTCTTTTGGACTTAAACCTCGGACATCAGCAAGACCTTGTTCAGTAACGATAACATCCAAATCATGCTCGGTTTGATCGACGTGTGTGCACATAGGAACAATGCAAGAAACACCGTGAGCATCGGTCTTAGATGGTCTAGTAGATGGTGTGTGCATTATACTGTATTTAGAAGAACGGAGGAAATCAGCAGAGCCACCGAGGCCGTTCAACATGCGAGAGCCCATAACATTTGTGCTGTTTGCATGTGCGTAGATATCGACCTCAACTGGTGTGTTCATTCCGATAACTCCCAACCTTCTGATGATCTCAGGGGAGTTAGAGACTTGCTGTGAGCGAAGCAAAAGTTTATCGAAGTATTGCTCCCATCCATCGTAGAAGCGCTTGAAACCATCTGGGGAGAAACGAATAGAAGTTGCGGTTGCAAAGTCTAAACGTCCAGAATCGAAAAGGTCAAGGAAGGTATCTTGAAGCACCTCTGTCCAGACTTTGAGGTTTCTAAAGTTAGATTCGGCTAGACCACCAATGACAGCATTGGCAATGTTACCAATACCGGACTGAATTGGGAGGAGGTTCTTGGGTAGTCGGTCATGCTTCACTTCGTGCTCAAGGAATTCAATCAAATGAGCAGCAATTGCACGCGATGTAGCATCTTCTGGCGCATTTGGTACAGTTTGATCTTGATAATCGGATTCGACAATGGCAACAATCTTCTCGCTATCAACAGGGATTGAGGTTGTTCCAATACGGTCCTCTGGTGCCATGATCAGGTATGGTTTTCGCTTTGGTGGAAGCTCGGTCATGGTGATATCGTGTAAACCCTCAAAAGAAGGCATAGAGGTGTTGACTTCAACAATGATCTTGTCCGCCATTTGGATCAATTCTGGTGATGCTCCAACGGAAGCTCCAGGAATAATACCGCCATCTTCGGTAATAGCTGTGGCTTCAACAATAACCACATCCAGCTTTTTGTTGGGACGATCTTTTGTGTAAAATCCATAAACCAAGTCTACAGGAAACATAGACAAATGTTTGTCGAAGAAATTGATGTTGCCATTGTTAATGCCTTTTGCAATAGCTTTTCCGACCTGATGAGGGCTTCGTCGTTCGATCATATTCAATTCTGCCCATCGATTTTCCGTTTCCGCTCCAGAACTCGCACCTACGAAAAGGGAGTACTTAAGCTTGCCCTGCAAGTTGTTCTTCTCTACGTGATCTGCGAGCATTGTTGGGATCTTTCTACACAGTTTCGATCAGTATTGGTTTTCCGCTGAATCAATCATATACTATCATTTGACCCCTCTCTTGCTGAGCACCGCAGTACAACTGCAGTTGTTACTTACTTAGGATATCCAACACCTGTGAACCCAGACCACCCAATGTAAGCTCCATTGGGGAATAAAGGGATCAAATCTTGAGGATGAGCAAGCTTCTTAAGCAAAGATGGTCTCCTAACTCGAGATTTCAATGCAGCAGAAGCTGTCAAAGCTGCCGCAGATGCCATCTGGAGAAGATTGAGCTATAGCGACGGTATAAACACAAACAAAGCGAAAAAGCAAACAGGAGAGGAGAGGTGATGCAGAAAATAAGGTTTGAAGGTGGGAGATATCTACGTATTTAAAAAGCCATCGTATGATCTGTTTACTTCGGCAAGCATGGTCAAATTGTGAAGCTCAACCGGGTTTGCTGGGACGATGGCGCCCCGCAACGATCGGTTACAAGGAGATATTTCACTCCGTCATCGCAATAATTCGGTTATTCGGTAACATAACAAACACACTGACAGCCAACTCTACTGGAGAGTCATGAAAACTTAAGGAATTATGTTTCATTGGTGGAGAAGGTTGAAATTATGAAATTCTTGTTAACAGACAACTAATATACCATAGCTGTGTGTAATAATGACATTATCAAATTACGTTAAAGAAAGTTCACTTCGCAGCTCCAGCAACCAAACGCATACCCTTTGCCAGTACCTAGTAGTCAGTCAGTCTCACTCAATCAAGATCGTGTCGTTCAATGCTGGTGTCATTACACATTGAATTCAAGCCTTCATCTGAAGAATCATTATACGTTTATTTCATTGACTTCATTCTCTATACAAGTAGTTCAACGACGCCTTTGCTCCATATCCTCCTGTCGCGGAGGAGCCATATTCATGGCTTCTCTTGCTGCCCTTAACGCAGTCTGGTTTATTCTCAACTCTACACTGTAGTCTCCAAATGAATCAACTAGCTCTCGAAGTCCGCTTTTGAGGACGGCGAGGAGCAGATCAACCTCGGGACTCTCCTGTCTCCCTTCTACGTCGGTCCAATGAGCCCCCAATCCGATCCTAAAATTTTGCACTTGGATAATCGTCTTTGTATATGTTTCCACGATATCCTTGATGTCCTTCTGTACTTTTCCATATTTATCCTCAACAAGACTACACACAGCAAACCTAGTTATCGAGTCGATAGCATCAACGATAATACCTAAATCGCCATATGGTGTTCCCAGTACTACGCTTGCAATCTCCTTTCGATATTCCTGCCTGAATGGTTTTCCGAACGGCAGCTTGAGGATAATGATCGCCTGCTCCCGTAAAATGTTCTGTAGTCCTTCGGGCTGTTGAAATTTTGTAGGGAGTGCGGCTTTGATTGCTTCACTCTTCTTGTCGTCCTTCAATTGGCGGCGACGAGATATCTTATCGGGCGGTGATAATTCTCCTTGGGTCTTTGCAAATGAGCCCACGGCTTCTAAATAACGCCTGCTTCTTGACTCTGCTGGTTCGGATTTCTCAACAAGACCGCCCCTTGGTTCATCCTTGAGCGATTCGGTTAGTAAACGAGGAAGCGATGATATTGGTTCTATGGTTTCATGCTCCTCGTACACTTTGATCACGGGTGCTTGTTTTTTGGGATCATATTCCTCGATACGCTGGTTGATTTCATTAACGGTTTCAAGGCATGTCGCAAGGATTTGAGACCAAGCTGAACCACCAACACGGTCAATGTCCTCAAAGATGGCTTTCCGCCTTCCTTGGTATCGCTGAGCAATTTCTACAAGTTCCCAAAATGCGAACGCCTGAATGGTATTAGTACAATCTAGTAGGAGCTGCAGGGGGGACTTACTCTTGTTTGTAACTTTTTACCCTTTAATCCAGTTAACAAACTGCCATTTGGATCCCGAGACTCGTAGGTAATTGGTCTGTCGTTCTTCAAAGGGGCTTGCGCTACGTAAATAGAGAAAGCAAGATTTCCAAATTCCCACAATAGCGTAAGCATGAGCCCGGCAATGACTGTCCTAAGAACCATGGTCCAGTGAAAAGGTAGTTCACTCGGAGGAGTGGCAGCCTTGGGCAAATTCCAGAAAATCTTTGCAAATGACCGAGTAAAACCCCAAACACTCTCTCTAATATTGAATGTGTAAATCGGCAAGATAAATGGGATGGGAACGCTGATGTTCATAGAATAGATAAATGGAGATACTACTGCCATTATAGAAACACGCTTAAGACACTGAATGGCTAGAGGCATTGCCTTCGCTTTCAATTGTATCATTGGCAGTACGGTTGTGTGCGAAGGTTGCTCAGATGAAACTTCTGGCCCAGTCTTCGTGAGTGGAATGTCGATGCGATCATAGTCGTACCAAAGGTGGAATCCGGCTTGAACGAGAGCATTGAATAGAAGGAAGACGGTCAGATATATAGGTTTCTCGTTCAATATTGGTCGACTTGTTTTTGCTGCAAGCTTGATACGGTTAAGACCTGCGCTCTCAGAAACCGACCAGACGTAAATCTCGCTGAAAAACCATGCTGAAAAGAGATACCAAAGTGCTGTCTGAACCGTCTGGTATTTGGGCGCATACTGTGTAAAGGTGTGGAAGCTCGAGTTTGAGGTTCTGATTCCTACGTGTAATTGGGCTACTCGAAGGATGAATATCATAAATGCGCAGGTGAAGAAGAGACCGGTTCGGATACCCGCCCTACCCAGAGGAAACCATGACCAAAGGACTGTGAGACTTGATTAGCATTGCATATTGAAAGTTGTGAAGCTGAAGAAGACCTACACGAATTCCATTCCCCAATCCATACCGCTTCAACGTAACATACTGCTGCTAAGACAGCGGTTGCCAATGCAAATCTTCTGTGTAAGGCTGGAGTTAAAAAGTCCTTGTAAGGACGAATCCTTACTGCGGGTGGCATGGGTGGAAATTTTGTGAAGATGTTGCGTCTTAGAAGACTAAATCATCAATAGAAGAAATTGGAATCTACGAAAGGTTACTGATCATGTTGTCGTTGGAAAATTAAATAAAGAAAGCAACACACGGAAGAGCTTTTGTTGACATTCACTTTTCTAGGTAAAATAAATTTGAGTTGGTTGACGCGAAAGGCACTTGGGCACTTTGGTGGGTGACCCGCCCTAGGTTGGTAGGCGTGGTAGGTAAGGTACAGACTACAGAGTACAGTACGTCAGCCAACATAGGATATCACACATCAAACATCACATCACTCACCCACCCATCATTCCAGATTATCACAACCTTCGTGGGCGAAATAGGCAGCGAGCGAATTTGTACATAAAATCAATACCAAATCTACACTCATTTGAAAACGTCTCAAAACATCAATAACAAGCAAGTCATGTCCTTCGATCAGTTGTCATCAATGGAGTCGCAACCGACGACAATGCGAAGAGAGGATGATCCTCAATATGCGGACGATCCGGAATTCCAAAAATTATCGCAAGACCTTATGACAAAGCTCTTCTCATTGACAGGAAATATCTCAAGACTTTCAAATGAAATAAACTTGTTGGGAACGAAGAGGGACACGGAGAGGGTTCGGGAAAGAGTTCACGATCTCTTGGAAGACTCAAAGGATGCCTTCAAAGAGATTGGCGATGGCGTCAAGAAGATACAATCATGGGAGGATGTAAATGTAAGCAATAAGATGTCCTGTATGATATCGACGGGGTATTGATAGTTCATGATAGCCATCGCAAAAATACACTCAAACAAAACTTACGCGCGAGTTCCAAAACAACTTGACCGAATTCCAAAATGTACAGCGCCGAGCTCTCGAGAAACAACGATCCTCTGCCACTGCAGCACGAACGGCAATGGAAGAAGCGCAATCACCAGGAGCTGAGGGTGGCAATCAGTTTGGACAGCAACAATCCCAAGAGCAGCTTAGATTGGCTTCGCAGGATGAGGTTGATTTTCAAGATTCGTTGATAGTAGAGCGTGAGGCCGAGATCCGGAATATCGAACAAGGCGTCACTGAATTGAACGAGTTATTTCGAGATGTGGCACATATTGTCAACGAGCAGGGCGAGACTCTTGATTCGATTGCCAACAATGTCGAGAACGTACATACAGATACAAGAGGGGCTGATCTAGAATTGAGGAGTGCCGCTAGGTATCAAAAGAACGCTCGGTCAAAGGCTTGCTGTTTACTATTGATATTGGCGGTCATCCTCACTATTATTATACTCGCGGCCACCCTAGGCTAGGCGCACTTTTTTTTTGGAACGGTTCTATGTGTTAATATCCTTGGGGGAGTTTTGGCGTTTTCCCATGGCATCCTGCTTCCATGTCTTCATACTTTCATTGTCATTTTGTACGATTGTCGGCCAGAATGTTTTTAGAACGATTTAAATGAAGCAAGAGAGGGTGATAGGATTAGGTATTTTGTCACGGTCCTATTGTCACCTCTGAAACTAATATACGACTATTAAAATCCTCTGCGTCTACGTTGTTCGTCCGTGATTGATTGGCTATGTTTGTCAATTGCCCCAATGATTCATATTCCTAATGATGGCGGCTAAGATTGAAGAAAACCAGCGGCAAAAGCAAACTACATGAGTCCTAGCTAACAAGTGATTCTATCGGAAGATGCGATTGATTGATTATAGTGTACCTGAAAAGGTAGTTGGTATTGCTTTTTCTGTCCCCTTGGAAAACCATTCCCTTCGCATCGAAACTCATGATAGCCTGACATCATCACAAGGCTTCGTCTGTCACCCAAGCGCGTTCTCCATACTTTGGAAGATTCGCGTTGCCTTTTTAAAAAAAATAACAGCATATTATCACGTTAATACATATACTCATACTCGTACTCATCCACTGAAAATTTCAGTATGGGTATTGAATTGAATGAAGCTAGTCTCCAAAAGGCTTTCCAATCTCGTCCAGACTTACAGAATGCCATAGCGGCAGCATCACAAGGTAAAGTACATATCTCTCAGCCTTGCAAGAAAAAGAGGTATATATAAAAAGTCAATAATGCGCCAACAACCACGGAAGAATTGATAAGTTTGATACCCCAACTAACCTGTAAACATAGCTGGTCCAGAATATATTGAGCTATTCAATCAAATTTCCCTATATGTCTGCGAGACAATAACTCAGCAAGCATCAGAACCAGCTTCAAAGAAACGTCGCATAGATGAGAGCCTCGCAAGTCGAAGTATCCCGAATAGCACAAATGGCACATCAAACAGCGTCGGAAGCGCGCCTGCTACTGGAGAAGATCCAGTCTTGCTTGAGATAAAAGAGATATCAGTGGTGATACCGCAGCGCAAGAAATACACCCTCTGTTTCGCATCAACACATCTCTATGGACGATTACCGACCTCTGAGGAACCTGCGTCTGGCATGAGCTATGCCTGGAAGGACATTGGTACTACTCCTACTCTTGA